TTATTCTGCACCTCACAGCGCTTCTGCCAGTGGACAATTGCATTAGATCAGTGGGGCGATCAAAAGGCAGAAACTCCCTGGAAAGTCACTGTCTAAAGCCAGATTAGGGGGCAAGGGAGTCCTGAAGGAGGACGCAGGGGCAAATTGTGCTGACCCAAGACATGAATTTATGGTTATCTGTCCACATCCATGCTAGGCCTTTTTTGCTTTTCAGCTCCCAAGTCAATGTCTTGTTTTGTTAGCTGTGCAGACAGGGCTGGGAGGAAGAAAAACACGAGACACAGCTCTTCAGAGCCTTGCTTCTGACAATGTCTAAATTTCACAAAGCCCCAGAATTGTTTACACACACTTACACACACACACACACACACACACACACACACACACACACACACACTTTGCTAGGATTCTGGATTTCATGCCAATACCTTATAAAGAGAGAAGCATAAACATTTACAAGGGGAAATGCAAACATCGAATTAGTGGTATGAGTATTTTTTTACAGAAAAAAAAACTACAATCACAGGTGATGGGTTCTGAGAATTAAACTGCAGAAAAGCATGACAGCAAAATGAGCTGTGAGAGACCTCAACACACATGTAGCAATAGCTGAGTGAGTTACAAGGTGCTATCGTTTGGCTCCTGAATGTGCTGATGGGTTGCTTCTGAGGCTGTTGCACTACTGGGAGGCGATGGGGCCCAATAGGGTGTGGTGATTAGCGTTGGCATCTTGACACAACCTGGAATCACCCAGGAAGATGGTCTCAATGATGGGTTGTCTACATGGCGTTGGTCCTAGGACATGTCTGCTGTGGGAATGTCATAAGTTGATATGAGAGTGCCCAGCCCATGGTGAGTGACACCATTCTTTAGCAAGGAATCCCGAACTGAACTGTGTATCAGTGGAGAAATAGACTCGATAATGAGCAAGTGAGCTTTCATTTATGTCTGTTATTGATTGTGGATGTGATGAGGCTAGCTGAAGTCCTGCTTGTTGTAAACTGAAAGAAATCCCTTTCTTTACTAAGTTGCTTTTGGTTAAGATATTTCATCACAGCAACAGAAACGAAACTAGAGCTGAGGGGATATGGAGAATCCATTCCCTTCCTCTCTGCTTCTCAGCTACCATGGGTGAACAGGCCTTCCTTCCACTGCTCCTGACATAATATGCTCCACTGCCATAGACCCAAAGCAAAAAGGTCCAGTGATCACAGAGTGAAATCAAACTGTGAGCCAAAACAAGCCTTTCCTCTTTTTAATCCCTTTCTCTTGGGTATCTGTCACTGCAACAAAAAGCTGACAGATACAATTTAAGTTGAAATAAGAAAGTAAGTACACCAGAAAATAAGGAAGTACTTGTTGACTTCCCAGAGGCCACATGATGTGGGTATAACAAAGGGACACTGAGCCAGCTGAGAGAGTGTCCAGTGACCAAATCTTTGCCTTCATATTTTCTAAGCTTTTAATGTTCTCTTTTTCATTGCCCTTAGCAACTGTACAAAGTTCATGGTCAGTTTACACGGATTGATTTGTAAGTGAATGGGTTGCGTGGAACCCCAGACAGACCTTGGTCCCAGCAGGCACTTGAATCAACAACCATTATCTTGGTAGAGTGGGGTGAAACAAATGGGGAAAAGTTTCCATGAACAGAAGGAATTGAGTAAGACAGTGACACGCAGGTGACCATAGGAGAGTAATTAATAATTAGACATTTAAAAATAATCTATCTCAACATTTAAAAAATCCGTTCATATTTCATACAACCTTTGAGCAACAAAGTTGTAACTCTGAATATAAATGAAATTTCTACACATTCATTGTTCCATGCTTATATAAAATTAACTGGCCAAAGAAGGAAAGCTAGAGGACACATACACTCTCCATACCTTAAATGTGGGTGACATCTTTCCAGAAGGGCTGTACGGAAAGAAAGCAGATGTGAAACACATCTGTACTTAGTTCTCAAGACTCCAAGGTAGGAGGATTGAGAGTTCAAGGCCAGTCTAGTGAAACCCTGTCTCAAAACAAAACAAACAAACAAAAACCAACAACAACAAAAAATGTGGAGGGAAACAAAAACAAAAACACCAAGTACACAGCAGAGTGGGAAAAGCTGCCAGGTCCTACCACTCAGCCTGTCGATCTAGGTCCTTATCAACTCTGATACTTCCAGAATTTTGGTGTGTCCTTGGCAAGATTAAAATGACATTTTACCTCTGTGATCCTGCTCCTCAAGACCCACAGCTCCAGTCTAATCATGAGGAAAAAAATCCAACTATTTTTAATTGTAGGGCAAAGTACCTGACCAGCACTCCAAAAACACTGTCAAGGTCAGCAGAAATGAGGAATGTCTGAGAAACTGTCACAGCCAGAGGAACCTCAGGTGACTTATTGAATAAATGTAATATAGTGTCCTAGACAGGGCCAGGAATAGGACACTAGGTAAAGCCAATGGGAATCTCAGTAAAGTGTGGACATTAGCCAACAGTAAAGTACGACCAGCGGCTCATTAACTGTAGCAAATCATGGTAATATATTAATATAGGAAAAGGAGTACTTGGGTATATAGGACAATCTACTTTTTTTTTTTTTCCAATAAAACACAGATTGTCCTGGATGGCCTGGCTCTAGTCTCAAAGAACTTCCAGTCAAGTCAGAAAGGATTCAGAGGTCTTCGTATCTCTTTTCTTGTGCTCTTCAAGCTTCCAGAGTACTGTCAAACTAGCTTAAAGATTTAAAATATTAGGAAATCATTACTGACATTATCTGAAATGACTAGTATATGGAGAATAATCACTCTGTTAGATGTAGAGCTAGGTTGTATTTAAATGTGTAATTTTTGATTATTCCTAACACACACACACTTAGTGGTGTACAATTCTCCTGGAGTCACCTGCACATCTCTCATTCATTTCAATTCACACATAGAACACTTTATGTCCAAGTGTTTTACCACACTCTACCAAGATAATTATAGTTGCTAAAACACCTGGGGGGAAAAGGCCTCTCTGGAATTCCATTCAGTCCATATAGAGACCATGAACTTTGTGCAGCTGCAAAGGGCAACTGGGAAGAGAACATAGTATTTAAAAAAAAAAAAAAACTAAAAATTTCAGACAAAGTAAGAATTGCAATATTTACATGACTGATCTCAAGGTTAACAGGCATAAACATCAAATATAATTACTTTTCATGACTATTGGGACTACAACTTTTAAAGCTAGTTTCATGGAGAAAAAAATGAACTTTGACCAGGCCTTGTTGCCATAGTAGTCTATGAATAGGTCACAAGTGGACTCAAGGAAGTCAGAGCACAGATATGGAAAGGAGTAAAATAAGGGGTACATAAGGATTTATAGAGTGGAGGATCTCTGTGGACAAGTAGGATTAGTATTGATGGAGGCCACCAAGAATTTTTGATAGTTTTAAGAGCAATTATAATTTTAGGGTCAATGCTATTTAGAATTCTTGGGTTGGACCATGTGTAAAATAATGGATTGTCTGTGACAATTTTTTTCTTATAGGACAAACTGTTTTATGAATCAATCTATAGCATATCTACCTATCTGAATTTAAATTACACATATATGTATATATGCACATATATATACAACTACATGTGTTTCTGGCCTTATGTAAATTATATAATCCACTCATTGACCAATGATGGTAGGTATCTATTCCATAACATTTAACTAATTATTATCTAATTATTCTAGAGACAGTAATTTGATAGGCAGGATGTCCTAGGGCATACAGGACATGAGAAAATATTGGGGAACTATCTATATAAACAATGTGACTTAAAAATTCATGATCCTGCCAGGTATGGTGGTGCATGCACTTGGGAGGTAGGAGGGACAAGAACAAGGCCAGTCTCAGATACATAATGAGTTAGAGACTACCCTGGGCAACATGAGGCCCTGTCTCAAAACAAAACAAAAAACCATGATCCCACGTGAGATGTAGTGGTTTATTGATGAAGTTCTACAACAAACGGGTAGAAATGAGAACAGGCATGCATTTGTTTGCTGTTCCATCATTACACATTCCATCAATGCCTGCTCAAATTGAGGAACTACTTCTTGGTGTTCTTTAATATCAAATATCCCATTCTTGTCTCTCTTCACATCTCCTACCATAAGAGAAAGTTATTCTCTAATTACTCAATATCCATGGCTTTTCAAAACCTGTTTGAATGAAAGAATATAGACCATTTCTTCTATGGTTTCCTGCTACCATTTATTCAGAGCTGTTCACATCCTTACATCAGGGCTAAGCACAAATGCTGACCTGTGACTCAAAGGCTGCCACTACACTTCACTGAGGATGACTACGAACAAAGGATTATTTAAAGTACACAGGAAAGGAAAACGGTATTGCAATTCCTGGTCATGCTAAGTTTAGCAACTAGAACTGTACACTTAAACAGATATTTCAACCATAACTGCTCTTGAACCCCTGGGCTGTAATTTATACATTTCCAAAATGCCATCCTTCATCCTGGGCCACATCCCTGCCTTCCTCAGAGTACCTAATACGCACTGCAAAGGACAGTCCCATTCCCATAACAAATACCTGTCCCTTTCTTTTGTTTTCTTAGCCCAAGTTCAGAAAATTTATTTTGTTAAAACAATTTGATATCTTAAGCATTACTGAGCCAACGGGACATCAGAATACAAGTTGTCTAAAGTTAAAGGTACAGTACATTAACAAACAAATGAGCCTTAGTCATGAAGTTATAAATGCAGAGTAGGATGAGGGTAAGAGGAGAGTTAATCCAAACTACAACAATCAAGTCTTCAAACCACCTTCTGAATGGGGCTTCTGGATTGTTCCTTTCATCTTTTCTTGTGACTTTTAGCTCCCTTAAAAAATGTTCAGTGGGGAATCACAGGAGGCAACGTGCTGTGAGTTCTTGAAACTATACAAGGTATAGTCTGGCTAAGTTACACGTGGTTTCTATATTTTTTGGTAGAATGACCTATGGCAAAGCAGGTTCAGTTACCCCACCAGTCAACCCCCTGGGAGCTATAATTTCCTCCATATCCATCACTGTTGTAAAAGCCTCCATAGCTACCTCCACCAAACCCTCTACTGCTGCCATGGCTGCCTCCACCACTGCGACTGTTGCTAGCACGGCTGCTGCTGAAGCTGGAACTGCTGGCACCGCTACTTTGTCGATAGTCTCTGGCACCAAATCCTCCACTAAATCTGCTCTTGGATCGTCCACGACTGCCACCCTTGTAATGGTGTTCAAAAGCCATGTTTTCTAGCCAAGATGGCACTTCCTGCTTTGCTTCAACAAGAAGATCCAATAAATCTTTGGTAATATTTATGTTCCTCTCATTGAAGAATGAGGTGGCAAGGCCAAGGTTTCCGACACGACCTGTACGGCCAATGCGATGCACATATTCTTCGATGTCACTGGGCAAGTCAAAATTGATGACGTGTTTCACATTGGAAATATCCAGTCCTCTTGCAGCTACTGCAGTAGCCACGAGAATTGGACTTTTGCCTGATCGGAACTGGTGAAGGGCCTCTTCCCTATCTCGCTGAGATCGGTCTCCATGGATGCTGGTACAAGCATATCCTTCATGGTATAAGAAATCCTCCAGAGAATCTGCACCCTTTTTGGTCTCCACAAACACCAATATTAGGGAATCCTTTCCTGTTGCATTCAGGAGGTCAAGCAGAAATGACCGCTTGTCTGCTTCTTCCACCCACACGACTTTCTGTGTGATGTTCTCAGAAGTAGACCCGACTCTTCCTACAGCCAGAAAGATATATTCATCCAAGAAATCACGAGCCAGCATCTGTATTTCCTTAGGAAAGGTAGCACTAAACATCATAGTATGGCGGACACCTTTTGGAGGCATGGTGTCTTGCTCAACTATTCTTCGAATCTGAGGCTCAAAGCCCATGTCCAGCATCCGATCTGCTTCGTCTAACACCAAGTATTTGCAGAAGTCTAGCCCGATCTTTCCTCTCTCCATCATATCCACTAGCCGTCCTGGAGTGGCTACTAACAAATGACATCCACGTTCTAAGTCTCGAATCTGCTGCCCAATATCAGCACCGCCATACACCACGCAAGGACGAACTCGAGAGCGGTAAGAGAACTTCCTGGCCTCCTCATAGATCTGCACTGCCAATTCTCTGGTTGGAGCCAGGACCAAGGAGATTGGGTACTGTTTGCGACGCCCATACTTTCCATTCTCCTTCACGGCCCTCAAAGCCTCACCTGGGCCATCTGTATAGATCTGACTCAAGATGGGTAAAAGAAAAGCTGCCGTTTTTCCAGACCCTGTCTGGGCACAAGCCATCAAGTCTCTTTTCTCCTTGATAATAGGAATAGCATGCTTTTGCACTGGAGTTGGGCGTGTATAACGAGTAAGCTCAATGTTTCCCATAATAATTTCTCCCATCTCAACATCACTGAAACTTTCAATATGTGGAGGGCAGTTGTTCCCTGTCGCCTCAACCGGAATGTCATCGTACTTCTCAAAGTTAATCCCAGTATTGCCTCCAGAAAAGAGTTCCTGCTCCAAGCGTTCGCTTGGTGGGAGCGGTTTAGACCAGTCATCTTCGTCCGCCTTGTCACACCAGCGACTGTTCCCACCCCGTTCAAATTTGCCAAAGCCGCTTCGGCCTCCTCCACGGCCGCCAACGCCCTCATAGTCACTCCGCCCGCGGTCATCAAACCTTCCCCGCGACCCACTTCCACGGTCACCGAAGAAACTCGACTTGGCTCTCGTGTCACTGCGGGAGCCGAAGCTGCTGTAGGCATCCTTGTCTTTACTCCACCGTGTGCCGTCTTTGTCGTAGGAGGCTTTGGTGGCTTCCCGGTTGCGGAGGTGAGGAGGGATGTAGCGCCCTTTGCTGGCGGCGCTCCCTCCGCTCTGGCTGTCGGGAGAGTTCAGGTCTAGGCCAGCCAACTGCTGGTCCAGCCCGAGCTCATCTTCCTCCGCCACATGACTCATCCCTGAAGAGTACGGAGAACTCTGGGCCGCACCTCTGCCGGGCTAGGGTTTCACCACAGAGGCCCTGGGTCGGGGGAGAACGGCGGGTCTGCCGGGCGATCGGGTCCCGTCCCTTCCCTCGCACGGCCCTCCTCCAGCTAACGCTATGGCTCCGGCCGGCCGGGGCGGCTGCGCGTTGATTCCTGATCTCGCGAGACTTCCTGGTCAGGCCTAGCGCGCCATCGCCGGCGGTGTGGTCACAGGGCCCGCCGCCCTCTCAGACTTGCAGGAGCCACGGGGCAGCACACGGTTGAGTTCATAATGGAGTTAGATGGACAAGGCGGCCCGCAGCCAAGCACCTCGGCTGTCCTGTTTGAACTTCACTTTTCCACCCCCGTCCTCCGCGAATACCCTTGGTCGTGGAAGTTCTCAAGATCTCGCGAGAACTCTGTCCTCTCGCAGTGAGGCCTTGAGGTGTCCTGTAGGCCTCCCGGCTCCCCCGGCTGCTCACTAGGACTCTTGCTTTTGGTTTCGTCCTTCCTTTCTCTCCAGGCCTCCAACTTTCCCCTTGGTTTCCAGGCTGTGGCACTTCTCCGGTTTAATTAGCTCTTGCTTCTCCAAGTGCGGCCTTTGGGGGAAACTGGAGTTAGGCCGAAAGAGGCCCCAAATGAAGAGGGCAGCGGGTCACGTGGCCACAGGTGTCCCGTGGAGTGGCCATTTTGTGCAGCAGGAAACGGTTGCTTGAATACAGTGTTCCGAATGGGGGTGGGGAAGGGGAAAAGGGCGGTTGGTGGTCAGGGTGGGGTTGGGGGAGGAAAAGGGGAGGGGGATAAAGGATGTGTTTCCCTTAAGACCAAGTCAGGACAGAATGCTCGGAGAGCTCGAACCTGTTGACCTGGTGGAAGGGGGGTACCCTAGAATTGCCGAGCCACAGCTTGGAGGCTGTGGAAAGGGCAGTGGCATCCTGGTGGTAGCACTAATTCCACAGAGTAAACGACATAGAAGCCAGCTGGCCTGGGTCTTGGAGGGCCGAGTATTCAGGGCGCTTGACTCCTTGTGCATCCAACCTGTCCGGGATTCATCCCAGGTCAGCAATGTGGGCCCTGCAGTAGCAACCTGCTCTGCATCTACCTGAGGTGGAGGTGAAGGGTTCCTAGCATGCTCCTGCTCCGCATAAATGAGCCACAGCCTGGGCAGCCTGCGTGGTATGGTGCAAGGAGAGGGGGCTTGTGCATTATGAAACCATAACTCCCAAATGGGTGACTGAGGGCAAATAGTCTTCACAGATGTGGATTTGACCATGGGTTCCTTTGCAGGTCTAAGGAAGAGTTTGTTTGAAATGTGTCCTACTAATTTTTGTAAAAACTATTTAAGAACTGGAAGGCTAACTCAGCAGTTAGAGTACTTGCAGCTCTTGCGGAGGAGGGGAGTTGATTTTCCAGCACCCACATCTCCTGGCTCAAAACACTGATAACTTTCGTTCGGGGGAATCTGACGCCCCCTTCTGGCGTCCATGAGCACCTGTATCTAAGCAGTGCACATACAAAAAAGCAGGCACATGCGTATACACATACATTTTAAGTGTTTTAATAGCTGCAACAGAAAAGCTCATTATTGGCTTATTTCATAATAGATTTTGTATGTCTTGTTTGTGCTCTATAAAAAAATGTTAATTTAAAACAGGGTCCATTTTTTTTATTTCACAGAAGCTTTAGAAATTAGGCAAAAAATAGTGACTAATGTGAAAACAGTATATTAAATTTGATGTATGGCATATAGATGAGAGTGGATGAGGATGTTTGTTATCGTGGTTTCTTTTAAGAGTTTTAACCCCACAATGGACAACTGAAGATGACGCCAGTATACCGAGGAAAGCAGAGATCAAAAACTTGAACAAAAAAAAAAGTGGTTTCCTGATCCCATTAAGTCTGGGGTCTGTCTAACTTTTGGACCTCTGAATTGCATGAACTATTAGGTACTGTTGAATCTTCATGCCATTTTAAAATGGATTTTTAAAGTTGCTGAGAGCAGAGAGACCTTAACTGACATCAGCATGCACTACTAAATCACCAAACCAGATTTAGTCAGGATTTTTCAGCATAAGAAGGAAATAGTAACAACTAAAAATTGGCCATGATTACAATAACTCTGAAAATCAGGGAGAGGCCCCAGAGGTCTTTTGACAAACCAGGGTAGAGGAGTAACTTTATTTTGAATGGCCTTGCACTTTACTAATATTGGTGCCACGAACCTTCACTAGTTCAAGTGCTTTCTTTCTAGCCTTTCTAGCCTTTCTGATTTCCTGGATTATGTCATGGTCAAGGATTTGGTTAAATGTTTTGCCTTCTGTTGCTCCAAATCAAATTTTTAAAAATTCTTCTTCCAAATAAGTTAGGAGCTTCCCGATATCAGTGTTGAATTCCAGGTAGGTAGCCTTCCAGATTATCTCTCAACAATTGCAAGTTTTGCCCTTTCCCTCTCTTTGAATATGGAAGTGATGGGGTAGCATTTCTGTCATTAGGTTGTAAAACACCATGAGTTCTGTCTTGCTGGACTCCAGCTCTACAAAATAAGAAAAACCCAAGCTATAAAATACAATCTGAAAGGAATCATAAAAACATGTCATGTTCTGAATTCTAAACCATAATAAAATAAAAGTGACAAGAATGCCTGTTTGACTTTCCTTAGACTCATTCTTGATCTACAAATGAAAAAACTCACCTCCACAGCATAGGCCAGGATCTACCTTTTCCCCACAGCATAGCATTTTATTGATTCTTTGAGAATTTCACATCATGTACCCCATCATACTCACTTCCCCATTCTTCCATGTCTACCCTCTCACCCTTGTGACCCCCCACACACACACACAAAAAGGTAAAAATATAAGGAAAAAATCCAGTTTGTGTTATCTATATACTCACTGGGGCACTCTTGGTGGCCTGCCCGTACATAGAACTGAGTCCGTTCCATTGCACACCCCACCAGAAGCCATCAATTGTGAAGCTCTACACTTCAGCATCCGCATCACACTTTTTAGGAATTCTCTTTAACGGCTTTTTGTCTAGGGCTGTTGTTTGGGGGGGCGGGGATAGGAATTGTCACAAAAGCCTTTCATGTCCCTTCCTCTCAACTGTGCATGTAGAGTTATCACCATCACAGCAAAAGTAGCCATACTGATCTGAGTGGCCTGTGCTGCCATCTGAGGCCATGGTGATGTCGGGTCTGTGCTGCCACCAAGGGCCATGTCTAGGTCTGTGGTCCTACTGTGACCAGGGTCAATGTTGATGTCTGTGGCCCACATTGCCACTGGAGGCCATGCAGATGTCTGTGGTCTGTGCTGCAGCCAGGATCTATCTTTGACCATGCCTTAAGACCTAGTCTCCAGGACAGACTAAGTACAAAACATACACCTAGCCTGTGTGCTTCTTGTCTGCTTGCCTGTCTGGACCAGCCCCCCACACAAAGCATTTGAGTCACTGTGTCCCTACATTTGGCTGTCTCTCAACTTCTGAGCTGAACTTCTGAAAGAGTTTAAAGGGGAGATGCTCTGACAAGGAGATTTGCTTGTCTCCAAGCCCGACTGTGCCTTCCTTTAATTAAAAATGGTATTGATTTCTCTGCTTAATGATAGGCACTAGTCTGCCCTCCTGATGTTCACCACTGACAGCTGAAGTATGAAACAAAGGGCACTTATTCAGCACTTAATGCAAAATTATGACTGATTAAAAAGTGATTTATCATGAGAACTACATCTGTAGAGGGTGAGCGTGTGTGTGTGTGTGATGCTTACTGTACCTAGAGTTTCGAAGGCATAGCAGGGTGGCAGAACAATTCTTTCCTTTTCTAATCCAGTTCTCTTCATACAACTCTTCTTCCCTTGTTTTCATACAAAGTGGAAAACATAATTTCCACTGAATTCAGGACCACAAAACACAGGAAGAGGATTGTGGAGGTCACTCTTATAGCATCCCCCAAATGTCTATTAGGATGTCCTGAGGACTTCTGAAAGGAAAACAGCCATCTTCTTTCTAGAACTCTATTCTTCTAATGCCTGCTTTGCTCTCTTCTTCACATGGTGGTTGACACTCTGGAAGTGTGGATGAACAAGCATGACTGAGAGATTTAGAAAGAAGGTACAGAAACCTGGAGGAAGTTAAGCTGCACACATAGTCAGCTTCTATTAAGGAACAACAAAACAAAATGTAAGAAGCCCTATGTTAGCTGTACCATGTTCACACCACAGAAAATCAAAGAAAATACATCTTTCATACAGAGTAACAAGGATTCTTATTTTCTTATCTTACAACTGACTTCTCAGGAATGATTCAAGCAAGAAGAGAATGGAATGAGTAATAGGTAGTTTAAAATATTTGTTTTTCAATGTTAGAGTGTGAACCCAGGGGCTTTAAACACATTGGGTAAGCATACTAAAACTGTACCACACCTCCATCTTCTTAAACGAAATATTTAAAATACTAAGCGAAAGAAACAACCACATGAAATGAAACTTGAAATGTAAAGGGGAAAAAACAGAGACTACTCAAACAAAAATTGAGGGAATTTGTGAAAGAATTTTTAAAGGAAAAATTGATATATCACAAACTTAGATATAGGAGCTGGAGAGATATCCCAGTGGTTAAGAGTACTTCTCTTGCAGAGGACCTGGGTTCAGTTCCCAGCACCCACATGGTGACTCCCATGCTCCGGTAACTCCAGTTCTGGAGACACTGCACACATATGACACACACACCTACAGTCACATACACATAAAGTAAGGGAATCTTTAAACATACTTCAGATCTAAGCAGAGAAAGGAGAAAAAAAATAAATGAAGATTAAAAAAATATTCTCAGGTGAGCCAACAAGACAGTAGTTTGCATAAATAATAACAACAAAGTATTTGATTATGTATCTCCATATCATCCCCTTTTATTCATTAATGGTTCAAATTCCTGATAGACTAATTATATGTAAGATGTCTAGCTATGCCGGGCGGTGGTGGCGCACTCCTTTAATCCCAGCACTCGGGAGGC